GGTCTAGCTCGCACCCTTTACGAGTTGTGAGCCCAAATAGAAATCGGCCAAGAACCAAATTTCCACTGCATTCCCAGCCAAAGTGGTTTTCTTAGCACTTTAAATGCACTCACTCAGGCTTTCTCAGCAACGTCCAGGTTGTCTTGATCTGACCTCTTAAATCTGTCCAACAGGTCTTTCGAATTTTCTAAGACTTTTGTACATTTTCCGCATGTTTACTCCTTCATATCTTTAGAAGGAGAACGCAGTTTGGCCAACTCTTTGCAGCTACCAAGAGTCCGTTTTAGGGTCTCTCACTGACATAAGGGGGAAGTGTCAATTGCATACCATTCTCGAAATCTGGGAGGTTGAAAATGGTCAAAAACTCCCAATTTGTCAATTTCTAAACACAATCTTTGCTGTAAATAAGAGACAAACTTTCTCCCTTTTCCTGACACCTTGAGTTTATGACTCCCACTTAATCGTGTGCCTCGTTTTCTTACCTTTCCAACGACACCAAACTCGTCTCCATCCGATAATAAATGAGAAAGTTATGAGCTTCGGAAAATTCCAATTCTTCCTTTACTTTTGCATGTATCCGTGACATTCACTTTCCACTTTCATTTCATTTGACCTAAATAGTTCATGACCTAGATAGTTCATCTTCGTTTTTAGCCCTATTCCTAACCGTAACCCTAACTTCAACCTTAAATAATTGTTAGGTTTAAAATAACTTAAATTTGATCAATATAAGGGAAAGAAAAGAAATACAAGGTAGCAAAATAAGTTTAATCTTTGTAAAAGAGAAATCATAACAACGGGACAGGTTTAAAATTAGTCCCGTTCTCTAATTAACTCATCACGTACAGCGTTCACAGTCTCAGTTACATCAAAGAGCGATCGCTAGCTTTGTGTATTCGATGCCATCAGAAACCGGTTTGGAAATGCTGTGTCAACACTGAGCGCGTTCACAGTCTCGGTTACATCAAAGAGCGATCGCTAGCTTTGTGTATTGAATGCCATCAAAAACCGGTTTTTGAAAGGCCGTCTAAACACTGAGCGCGTGCAGACTTGGACATTCACAGAAAGTCATCGGAGAGAGAAGACGTGGAAAAGGTAGGCAGAATACTTCATAGTTAGCTTAGATTTTTTTTTTTTAGCTCTAATTTGATAAAGGTGGAAGACTTTAAGCAAAGGAGCAACTATTAGTATATTAGACTATAGCTTCCTTGATACCGTAGACGTAGACGTTTTTAGCGAGGATGTAATTTATTATTACATCCTCCGCATGTTATTACACACAAAGATTAAACTTATTCTGCTAACCTTATTTTAGGTTTCAGAAAGTCTTTCATTTTATATACATTATATAACAATATAATATAGGAGATAATTTGAACAAAGTTTTGATTTATATGCTTTAATTTTTAATTATAATGGAATGAGTGTCTTCTTCCTTAATAACCCTGTAAGTACATTTATATCTTTCTAATATGTAAGCATATATTTTGCTAGACATTTGGTTTTAATGCTAAATTTGACAACTGTTAGTTCAGGAATGCTTTATCAGGCATCTGCTTGATCAATACAAAGGACTCATAGCAAATGTAAAGGGTCAATATCTGCAATATATTGTATATGTATAAATATGTGAGCCTGGGGCCCGTTTTACAAAAGAACTTACAACTAAGACCAAAAACTTCTGATTGTTGTAAAATTTTTCAAAATTAATAATTCTCTTTGAAATTGGTTGTGTAAAAATTTCTTACCACTTTCCTTTTAAAGACTTTAAAATGCTTTTCAATATAATGTTAATTAAAAAGTTATATGAAGAATTAAATTTGGTCTTAAGTCGTAAGTCCTTTTGTAAAACGGGCCCCTGATCTATAATTGTAAATCTAGCATTTTAATATATGATTGTACTTTGGGCCAGCGGCATGTGAAACTGAATAAATATTTTGAATTGTAAAGGGTCAACAGGGGATGTTTACTTCTCCTAGGCACCTGATCCCACCTTAAGAGGTTCCAAGGATCTGTGTTTAATGTCCTGTTGACAGTTATCTACTGTTTGTAGATTTTTGAGATTGATCACTGTCTGTTGATCTTCACTTGTTTTAGTCTTGGACTCAGGTCCGAAAAATGCAAGTTGAAAATAATACTATCACTACATGTACTATAATACCAGTAGCTAATATCCTTGATGAAATTTACAAATTAAAGCTTTATTTTATTTAGTCCATTGATTTCAACCTGAAGGGACTGGCCGATGCCTTTGATTTACCTGGTCTCAGGTAAGACAAACAAACAAACAGTCATAACACATCAAAACATACTCATACTTTATTAACCTTACTTTATCTTTTAAATGATACACATTAAGATGTGCAGAGTTACATGTAAATTCAGTACTATAACTGACATACAGGATATTCAATGTTTTATATGAATAGCACAGGGAAATGGGACAGGATTTTTAGTTATTTAAACTTTAGATGAAATAATGAAAATATCAAAAATTCTGACTTTTCAGTGAAAAAATCCATAGTCAACTACAAAACATTGAATTTTCTGTTTATTACATTTTTTTATAAATTCTTTGATTTTTCCTTTGCCTCTGTCTTTTTGTAATACAGTCATATATAACTAGTTAAGCGGTTGAACGTCATAGCTAAGTGAAGTGAAAACACTGTAAACATGAATTTGGAAACATATTTTTGGTAATTTTGACAGTTTTATTCGCTGTCAGAATAGTTTATTTATTTCCATGATATCTTATATATGGTCTTGGAAGATTTTTTACGGCAATGAGGAAAGGAAACAAGTTTTGCAATATATTCGTCACACTGTGACAGGATATCATTTTGATATCCTTTCACACTGTGACAGGATATCATTTTTATTCAATGAATAAATTACAGTAAAAATGTAATAAATGCTACTATTCTGTTTATGCAGCACAGGGAAATGGGTTTTGTTGACTTCCTGTAGTTAGGTCAGATGTCCATCACACATCAACACAACCCTGTGTCATTTAAACTTTAGCTGAAATAATGTACAGACATTCTGACTTTTCAAAAAGATCCAGTTGAGGATTTTTACATAGAAGCCTATGCACTTTTGCCCATTAATTAAAGCATACATAACTTCAAGATGTACAATTAATCTTTGGTATCTCTAATACCTTGGATATGTTGAAGTAATTTGGAAGTCCCAACCCGGTATTATTTCATCCTGATATGTAGAATCCTTGGAGAATTTTCTTGGTCCCTTTGAGTTGGAGATAACAAATAAAACAACTAGTTGCGGGAGGTATAATGTTTTTGACCCGTCCGTCAGTCAGTCCGTCAGTCAGTCAGTCCTCTTTTTTTGTCAGCGCAACTCCTCATAAACCGCTGCACAGAATTTTGTCAAACTTTGCAGGTATTTAGGACACAATGTGTAAATGTGCATATTACCAGGAAATTCCGATTCCATTATTTTTTCCGGGAATTTACGCACTTTTTAACTTAGGCATTTGGCCATACCTTGAATATAGAGATGAACAGTTTGTCAGCGCAACTCCTCATAAACCGCTTCACAGAATTTTGTCAAACTTTGCAGGTATTTAGGACACAATGTGTAGATGTGCATATTACAAGGAAATTCCGATTCCATTATTTTTTCCGGGATTTTCCGCACTTTTTAATTTAGGCATTTGGCCATACCTTGAATATAGAGATGAACAGTTTGTCAGCGCAACTCCTCATAAACCGCTGCACAGAATTTCGTCAAACTTTGCAGGTATTGAGGACAAAATGTGTAGATGTGCATATTACAAGGAAATTCCGATTCCATTATTTTTTCCGGGAATTTCCGCACTTTTTAACTTAGGCATTTGGCCATACCTTGAATATAGAGATGATCAGTTTGTCAGCGCAACTCCTCATAAACCGCTACACAGAATTTCGTCAAACTTTGCAGGTATTGAGGACACAATCTGTAGATGTGCATATTCCCAGGAAATTCCGATTCCATTATTTTTTCTGGGAATTTCCGCACTTTTTAACTTAGGCATTTGGCCATACCTTGAATATAGAGATGAATAGTTTGTCAGCGCAACTCCTCATAAACCGCTGCACAGAATTTCGTCAAACTTTTCAGATATTTAGGACACAATGTGTAGATGTGCATATTACAAGGAAATTCCGATTCCTTTATTTTTCTGGGCATTTCCACACTTTCCAACTTAGACTTTTTGGCCATATTTTGAATATAGAGAGGAACAGTTTGTCAGCACCACTCCTCTTAAACTGTTGTACACAGTTTCGTCAACCTATGCAGATATTTAGGACACATTCCATCATTTTATCCCAAAGAGTTTTGCCTATTATTCAAGAAAATTTCTCCCCTCCCCCCCCAACCACTTCAAATTAATGTTTGGATTTGTATAATGCCAAGAAATTTTGATTCCATTATTTATCTAGAAACTTCATTCCACATTTAAATGTCCTCATATGCAAGACATTTTGGTGTGAAGATTTTTTTGCAATTATTGCCCTTTTTGATCTATACTATGTATTTAAAGTGCACTGTGCCTTTCATTATGTGTTTCACCATCAAGTTAAGGGGGAGCGTGGGGTACGTGAGCTAGCTCACTTTTTCTTTCATTGACTGAAGAATCATAAAATGATTTCCCTATTACAGTGTATCATCATGCCATTGTTATTCTGTCTATAAGAGATTCCTCTTTACATTAGCGCTCAGTCTGGATCCGTGGGATTTTCCAGGTGTTAGTGGTGTGTTCCTGTTGTTCTGTAGAGACATGCATCATTTCATTTCTCATGTAATTCTTTGTTTTAAGTATAGTTTTATATCGTAGACTTTGCCATTCAAAATCATTCAACTACATATTTAAACATATACTAGTACAGTGTAATGTCTTCATGTACCTTTTCTTTACATGAGATAATGTTTGAAGATTTCCCCGGTAACTGAGATTTCAACTTTCTGCTTCAAACATCTATCAGTTTTGCAAATCAATAATTAACAATTTCATTAAAAAATGGGATATCAAACATGTAGTTGACAAAACTGCTTGCTATATACATGTATATTATAACAATTGAGGAGCAATGAAGAATTTTAGGATTTATTTTATTGTTTGTTTATTGTATAGAATGCATGTAAGAATAGGACTAATGCATGAGGTTTAAATACGGCTAACTTATTTCTTAGAACTTGATTGACACTTTTTGTGTTTATTAGATGGCATTGGCATATTCAATTAGCATGAACTTTGGTATCACAAAAGTCAGTATCTCAAATATCATGATTATGTCCATGAAGAACTAGGCACAAAATCATGATAATTATCCTCATGTAGTGTAGATTCAAATTTGTTTAAGTTATATGGCCTTGGGGAAGGTTGGGCTGACAATATGAATGAAAGTTTTAAATGATAAGAGAAATATCTTTTATCATGTTTATTATCTTCTTTTGTGTTATTAATTAAATGTGGATTCTCAAAAACTCAAAAAATGTTTAGAGTTTAGAATCTTTTTCAAACCATTCAACTTGTCTACACTTTATGCAGCAATTCTTCATGATAAAAAATAGACTTTTTAATATCATAGACAACTGCTTCTTCAATAAAAATGGAAGTTGGAAATTTTCCTGTCCTGTGATTGGTCATCAACAAAAACTACGTTCAATTGTTTAAAATTTCTCTGAATCTATGCCAAAGTACTCTGAAATTCGTGTTAAATGGATGTTGGAGTTATTCAATGACAATATTTATGTAGTCCTTAGAGACAAATTGTTGGAATTCAAATGGGCACTGTTTATGCTCCTTTATTAGCTGATATGCTTTTTAAAAACAAAATTTTTCCTCTGTCATGTTGTATGGAAAAATTTCATTGAAATTATTCTTCTTTTCTATTGATCATAAAAGACAATGTCCACAGGGAAACAGGTACAATGATATAGAAACTTGCATTCTGTACATGTATATCTACTCTGAATTTTAAGTTAAGCTGTTTCTTGGGCAGGCATGAGCTGATACTGGTAAATGTTCCATACACTGGTTGAATATTTCTTTTTGGATAATAATTTTCATTCAAAGAAGAATGCTGAAATGTTCTCCTTCTTAAATTTTTTAATGTTTTAATCACCTTGGTTTGAAAACAATATTCATATAATGAAACTTTCTTTGTTAGCCAAAGAATATACCAGCTATATCAATGTTATATTATCTATACATACATACATTTCTAAATGATGTTATGCTCTAGGATTTTTATATTATATTTATAATATAATACAATCTCTTGTTATTGAGCATCTGTATGAGTTTTATTAATTTAAAGTATTCTCAGTAGCCAATTGCATGTACGTATATATATATGTACTACATTATTTGACTTCATTTTGACTTAATTCTGATAGTTTTACAATCATTTACAAAAGTGGTACATTTTCACCTGAAATATGAATTTTTTAAAATGATTATTTTGCATGATATGTACATTTCAAGTAGACATGGTAGAGATCAAGATGAAATTCAAAACATTTGATATCATTTTTACAAAATTGCTGTATAGTTCAATTTGACAAAATATTTGATAAGTAAAATTGGAGTGGTTTTACGATTGGAATTTATTCATGTTATTTAAAAAAAATGTTACATGTTATTTACAGTTCATTATAACTTGCTCCATTTACTAATTTTTATTTTCTATGATCAGAGAAATGGTGGAGGACATTATTGCAGAACAGATAGCCAACATAATGGTTTTACCCAACAGAATAGCTGTCCCTATGGTACCAGAACTGAACCTGGCCCTCCTCAAGTATCCTCCGCCTGAGGTAAAAACTTAGATTCTACAGGTATTCAGGTACCATCCAGGGTCACGCGGCACAAATATCAATAATATCTCATATAATGAGACAGAATTCAACTCTACCATGAAATCACATAAATAAATATGGGCCTTTTGAAAAGCTATTTTTAATTAAAAAAAAAAAGATATGGGACCATTCCAGATGATAACCATACTTATTTAAAATTGATTGATTTTTAGGGTGTTTTACGGATTTACATGGTGGAGGCCAGAAATCTGGTATCAGCTGATATGGCTTTGGTCGGAAAAGGAAAATCAGATCCATACGTTGTTTTGAAATGTAAGCAAAACTAGGTGCATTGCAAGCTATTTGAGAAGTGTGAACTTCAAGCAGTTTTTTACATAGGCTTGATATGACATAAGTACAAGTCATGTTCACAGAGATCTTCATTGAAATGTTTAACTTTAAAAAATATACATGTTCCTGTTGTCTGGTTGTCTTTCTCTTGCTTTTGAACTGGAATTTTTGTTGTATCACTTATTACACAATATGTACAGACAAACTGGTAAATTTCTAATTTAAAACGTCAAGTTTCTATTTTTGTATGCCTTGCCTTGAATATGGTTGGGGCATACAGTGTTTGTCATGTTCACCTTTTATTTTTTCATCCATCCTTTCAAAAAACACAAAATATTCAGTTCAAATCATATTGTCTATGAATTGCAATCTAAATTATATTGAAGCACATTGCAAATGTATGCAGAATTGTATTAAAATGATATCTGATAAGATCAAATAACAACAATTTTGGAGTTGAATAAAAGAAGAAAGGTATTAAATCATAGGAATAAAAAATGAATGATAATAATAGGGACTGCCATTCAATTTGCAAGTTAGGTAAAAAAAAAACAATAACATTATCATTACTTTTATAACAAATGTATGTTTAAAATTTTTTATGTAAAAAGCTTTAATTAATCTTTTCAGTTGGTCCTGAGAAATTCAAAACCAAAGTCATCAACAACACAATTAACCCTGTTTGGAATGAAGTTTTTGAGGTAAGATGCAGCCTGCATGGGCGTGGGAAAACAAATTAAAAAATCAGGGGACGGGAGGGTGAAAAGAGGATTTCTTTTGTAGATTTTTTTTTCCTGAAAGAGGATTTATTTTGTAGATGTTTTTCTAAAATGTACTGTTTTATATAAATGGTTGAATGCATCTTATCAATGCACGTCAATCATATTTGAAGACTCATGATCAGTTATAAGTTTACTGCTTTCATTGGAAGTGAAAAAATCCCAAGCTAGTGCCTGTGAAGATGAGTAAATAGTGATTTAGTGTTAATTGTTTTAGACTGTAATAGACTGTAAAGATGCCCAGGTGATAGATTTAGAAATCAGGGACGAGGACCCGGGAAGTAAAGACGACAAAATTGGGACGTAAGTAAACAAATTAGACAAGGTTTAGAAGGTTACAAATTTACAGGAAAACTCCAATCAATCATGTACATAGTAAAACAATTACCCTGTAAATTTCTTCAGAACATGAACAAAAGAAAATGTTTTTATTCAAATAATGAAATATTATATGAAAGTTGTTGCACAACATGTATAAGCTAGTAAAAAAAACCAATCTCTGACTGGTTACTTTATTTTTTAGGGCAGCAATTGACATTTCCAGCACAATGACTGAGGGAACAGTGGACTGTGTAAGATAGACTTCTGTATATAACCAAGGAGCTTCATCAAAACACTGACAAAAAAATTACATGGCAATAAAAAACAAGAGCCACTTAGGGCCTTTGTTGGCCCTGTGAATTTCTGAAAAATTTAAACTGTCCAGTTTTGGTTGACAATGCAGTATTTTACTTTAATCAATTATAATGATGTCATTTACCATATCCTCTGAATACTTTTAAAAATGGGCAAAAGCTTAAGTATTCTTTAAATATTTCATATAGATCTCAACCTCTGATCCAAAATTTGTAATTACATAATGAAAGATTTGCTTCTGAAGATCAGTGAATATGTTTTAATTTTTGGACAGAGGTCTGTGCTCATATTTTAATTCTTTGCTGAAGGTAGTCAAAATAGCATGGTTTCTGCAAAATTCAAGAATATTGCATTTTCACAAAGCCTGTTTTCTAATAGTTGCATTTTCAAAAAGAAACTTTGTTATAAGAAATGAGAGCACCAAGTCTCTACATCATTTTGAAATATGAAATGGTACAGAGGGTGATAAGTCAATTATATGATATTGCGACAGAGCCATGTTATGCATAAAGGTAACCTAGCTCTTTGTATAGGAAATTTTTATAGAAGAAGAGTGTAAATGTTATTCTAAAATAATGTAACACAAGAAAGAAGCTTTATTTGAGATTAATAGGCTGCAAATGATAAAGTTTTGATTTTTTTTATCTGATTAAAGATATTAAATTACAAAACATTCATTTGCCTATGTTTATTTCTGTGCTGCAGTGGTTGCCCTTGGAGAATGTTAAGAAGGGGGATGTTCACCTTAAGTTAGTGTGGATGTATCTGGCTAATGACCCAATGGTCCTGGAAAAGGTATGGAATTCTGATACATGGTGTTATTTTTGTTGAAAATATTAATAGATATTGTACTTTTTAATTAGCATGGCAATAGGTGTCTTTACAAATACATGTGTAATTTATATTCAAACTGACTTTCTAGATTTGAAAATCCCAAAGATTTTGATTATCATTAAAGAGAATATTCAGGGATTTTTTTTTAAGTTCCAAATAATAAATGTAAATCACAACATATATTTTGTAATAGTAACCCCCTTCCAAATGCAAGCAAAGAAAAAAAACCCCACAAACAACAATAAATATATTGACTGAGAAATTTACAATTTAAAAAACCCAAACAAATTGCATTTTAATATCATGATAGTAGTAACTCATTACCACAAGGACAATGAACTCACAATTCCTTTATAAGTTTTCATAGATTTGAACTTGGACATAACAATGTTATTTTTATGCCCCCCTTCGAAGAAGGGAGGGCATATTGCTTTGCTGCCGTCTGTTAGTCGGTCTATGGGTCCATTTAGTTTCTGTTCATTTTCTTCACAACCGATGCACATACTGAAATGAAATTTGGTATATAGATTTATCAGATGAATATCTAGGTCAAGAATTATTTAGGGTGCGATCGCACCATTTTTGTCAGAGTTATGCCCCTTGGACTTAGAAAAATTCCAATTATTTGTAGTTTCTGTCCCTTTTCTTTGCAGAAATTTTACCTATTGAAATGAAATTTAGTATACAGATTTATCAGATGAATATCTAAGTCACTTTCTGTTTTGGTTATGATTGCACCATTTTTGTGAGAGTTATGTCCCTTGTACTTGAAATTCCAATTTGGGGGATGGGGGCATAAGTGTTTTACAAACATCTCTTGTTTAGTTATGTGTCTTGCTGTATTTCTTGATTCACACTATTTATAAATTTAAAACCTAGATTTGATTTACCGGGTATTGTCATCAATTTGTTTATTCTGCTCTTTTTCATAAATATTAGATAAAAATAATGCTTTCAGTTAATATGTTTCTTTTCCTTATTTTTCTGTTTAAAAATAAAATTTACGGTAAGTGACTAGTTTTTTTGGGAATTTAAAAATACTATTTGCTTTTAGACACTTTATAACTGAAGAGTGCAAAGATTTCCCCATTTCCACTAAATATATCTGGTACATCCTCTTAAACTTGGGTTTTGAAAGAGAGAAATTAAACAAAAATAATCTCCCAGAATTTAGCAAGAGTTAGTTCGACAAATGCTCAAAGTTTTCCAATATTTAACGACCAACTATTTTGGGATTTTTCTGAAGAATATAAAGTTTGGAAGCGGTCTTTATTTAAAAAAATTATTTAAATTTTCTAAATATAGGCCTATCAAAAACTATCTATATATTGAACAAACAAGGGCATGTCTTGGGTAATTTTATTTGAGGTTTATATGCATTATGGATGTTTATAAATCAAATTTTACTTTTTATAATGAGTTGACAGCTTTTTGAGTGAACATTTTGGACAAACATGAATGGCATCCTCACAAAGAATTCACTTTTCACCAACATTTTCATGCATTATTTCTCCAAACATTTTGACAAGAAATCTTCTACCGATATATGCAGAAATTAGCCAGACCAGTAGTATGTTTGACATTATCAAAAAGTATAAATGAGAGCAAGACTTGACCAAGTTTCCCAGACTAGTTATAGATTAGTGTATTCTTAGAATCACCTGTAGGGTTTACATATATACAATGTACATTTATGATAATTTTTTGTTTGAAGGTGGTGAAATTTCTTCTGTAAAACGAGCAAAGTTTTTCTGAATTTTCTTTTTAAGTTGAATTTAGAAATGTATAGTTTAAGAATTCAATTTTTGATTTATTGGTTTAAGATAATAACCAGACATTGAGTGCTTTAAGTAAATATTTGTGTATACCTATCTTTTGGAAAATCTTGGTTTAAAGTTATAAACTTTAGAAAAAGAGAGGAATATTTTCAGTGGAAGAAACTTAAAAGTAGATATCCTTTCGTTAATGTAAGTTTCTCAAGGTCAGACCGTGAAGGTTATTCTTGTTCCAACTTCAATTATAGAACATTTACTTTTCAAACTGATGTCTTCATATTTAATGAGTAAAGGTTAAATGTTGTGTATGTCACCTTCCTACAGTGTAAGTGTCATATCACTACTTACTCCCGATTTATTTACATCAAAACTGTGTAAGACATATTCATAACTCGTGTACAGTGTACATTCTTACCAACATTCTCTCAGTAACATCAGAGGATGCACACCACATTTGTAACACACATGTTTACAGTGGTTTTGTGTTTGCAAATAAATACTGTCAAATTAAAGTGCATATATTTTTTCTGAAATTTTTAAATACAAATACTTTGACAATACCTTAAGAAGTACTTTGTATTAACTTTCAATACTATGAAGTTTGTTATTAAATTTCAGAGTTTTAGAACAAAATATTAAGTTTTTCTTATATTTTGTTAACTACCTTGTATAAATATGCATGTTCACATCTTTCAAGGTCATGTGCATTTTATTTTGTAGACTATGAAACAGACAGACACGACCTCTGAACTTGCCACCTGTGTACTAATGGTCAACCTGGACTCTGCCCGAGACTTACCTGTAAGTAGTCTTTTAATGCTAACAAGATTATTTACTTATTGCTTGATCCTTGAAAATGTTTTTGAACATTTTATCAATTTTCGAGATAACATAGTAATCACTCATGAATATGGTTAAATAACCTCTACATTGATGTTGTATCCAGTTTATTATTTACATGTATGATAAATGTTTTAGACTTTAAATTCTCTCTTGTTATATATGGTATCTGTTCAAGTCTTATGCAGTTTATGTGATCAAAATATATTTGTTAATGATTATGAAATATGTATTTGTTGTTGTTTATTTTGAACACATTTAATTTGAGAGGTTTCTGTAGTGTACTTTAATAAGAGATAGATTTTATGTTGTATATGTTATATTCCACAGAGTTCCAAGGTAAATTACAGGGCACACATGATTTTCGAATCTATACAACTTTTTCTAGCTAGAAAACCTAAATAGTAGGCGTGTGTTTTAACTGTAAGACTCCTTCAATTCTGAATCACTGTAAACCAACTGCAATTTGAAGACAACAAAAATAATGATTTGATGTGTTATTCATAAATATTTGTCATATGAACTAATGTTGAATATTGCTTGTAACTTTTCCGAGTGGTTTTTCAATCCATAAACTGACCATTTAAAAATTAAAAAAAATATACATGTGTATATGTCAAATTATAGTTGGTATACTTAATCAATCATTTATACATCATTGATATATGCAGCCCTATATTAAATGAACGGCTAGCGAGCAGTGAAAAATATCAAACTTCAGTTGCAGAACAAATTCAAATGTATAGACACTGGCGATTTGACATGCCCAGTGCTACACAGTAGAAAAGTATACTCAAAATGTTGAGATGAGAGAAATTTACTTGTTTTAAAAATCATTAAAAATAACTTAAAGTTTCAAAGATATGAAGACTTTTTTTCAGTGTTAAAATTCATAAAATTCATGCTTTTTTCAGTAAATGAATTAGTATTATGTTTTATTATATTCTACTTTACTAGTATTACTTCTAAATTTTAAGCATTTAGGGATTTTATTTTTTCTTCTATTTTCCTAATTATTAAATTTTGTCAATTTTAATTACAAGTGTTAATATGGATTTTTTTTTTCTCACTTATCTATATTTATTTTTAAAAAATAAGTTAAACCTTTCATAGTTTTTTCATTATACACTCACAATTTATAAAAGTTGTTATGTAATAGTTTTAAGAAAAAATTAAAATGTTGCAGTAAAATTTTCATTTTATATGTTAGAATTGATGATGGTTCATAGACCTAAAAGATATTAACAAAAACATCTGAGTTTTTGTAACTCTATCTTGATAACTACTTATATTCTTTGAGTAAGAATCTCACAAAAACTGTAGAATTATCCCCGTGTTTTATTTCTGACTTTTGTAATATAAAGACATGTATCACCTGACAGGCACTTGCACCCTCTTCTACCCTACAAAGTTATGAACAGATGTGATGAAGTTAAATGTGGCACATTGACTAATTATTCTATCTTATCTGTTTTCTGAAGCATTTAAATTCTATTTATCTCGATAAACATACCCAGGTTGTACAAAAAAATACTGTATTACAAATGAAGTTTACATTGTTAATCATTACAATTTGAAGTTAAACATAGTTTTCATTAAAATTTTAAGATTTTGACACAAAGTTTAGTACACTAAGACTACACATAAAATCTTTGCTATTCGGCATACCATGTATGACTGTGTAAAAGTACACATGGCTTTTGATTATTTCTCTTCATGAGTTCAAAGGTAGCAAATATTCCTTTGCCAAGCGTTCAGCACTTCGAAGTAAGAGTTGCAGGTTCTTTGGATGAGACCTTAAAAACCAAGACCCTGAGACCCTGAGTCACAGTAGATGTTCAAGGCACAATAAAGAGCCCTCACTTTTCAATGGCCATAAGTGCTGAGCATAGGACAAAATTTGAAACCCCCGTATAGAGTGACATTTCTATATGAGGGAAATATTCTCAGATGGGATGTTAAACAATATACAATCAATCTTCACAGTAGGTAAATAATTTTGCTCCATTTTAAGTCCATCAAAATGTCCGTAGACACAGTATTAGGGACAAGATAACACTGCAGCTGTACAAAATATATTGGAATTAACTACAGGAAACGTGAGGGTAAACTTATAATTGTGGTGAACAACAATTTCTGATATATTTACCTAATTTGGTATGAAATAATTGTTCATCAGCAAAAAAGTCTGTGTATAAATTGATATATTCCTTTGAAATCATTACAAGCCTATTAGAATAATCAAAACATCTACATTTTATTCTCTTGCAGTATAGTAATCATGTACATGTACGTTAAAATATTTATTTTTCTCAGAATTCTGATCTATATGCACTTTATTATCTTGTACAAAGATTTGTCATCTTTCTTTTATAATTTTTCCTGCTTTAAATATCAATTTATTCTAGTAAAGGGTACCTGTAAGATAAACATATGTAGATGTTAGAAAGTTTGTTAAATAAACATATTTATATTTCACAAGATGTGATTTCTGCAACATTATTTTGTTTTTAAATTTTTGTATAATATTTAACCAAATCTGATGACGATAATTTTTTTCCTTTAGAAATTATTTCGATGGGTATGATTCTATATATTATTCTAAGAAAATGTTTTGATTTTGTTGGAAATGTTACATTTATTTGATTAAAATTCATGATTTTTCTGAATGATTTTTTTCTGTCTTTTATTAATAAGTTTGTATTCTTTGTTAATTCTATTGTTTTAGAGAATTAATTTTAGTGACCATGTTGAATGCTAAAGGAATAGATTCTCGTCTCAGAAAATGTTTCCTCTGCTCTTTGCTATACTTTTTTTCTCAGACTGACATATGAAAAGAATTATTTGTAGCAAATGCTGAAAATTCTGTAGGAGAAAATGATTTATCAGAGCTACCTAGCAAAAAAGATTATTTGTATCTTTGAATAAAATTTCAGTTCAAGAGTTAAGTTAATATAATTATGTTAACTGTTTTGTTGATGATAGAGTAAATATAATTACAGATTTACTGATAACTAAATTGTTAATATATCAGTTTTACTGATTACTGAGGTGAATGTTAGGAAAATACATAATATTACCATAAGAATTTGTGTGTGTAAGAGTATTTTTTTCCTGTCCAATATCAAGATAGAAAAAAAGAAAAACATGTAAGATTTCTTTCTTTTATCAATAGAGAGTAAAAAAACAGATAGCTGAGCCCAGTCCTTTTGTGATTCTCTCCATCGGACCAAAGACTTTTGAGACGGAGGAGAAACCTAACACAGACAGCCCTGTGTGGGAGAAGCCATTCCGATTCCTGGTCCAGAACCCCCAAATTCAGAAACTGGACATTCAGGTCAGAGCTACTAAATCATTCCTGATTCATTTTGAAAGTTATATAATTATTAATCTTAGCTAATTGTTCCAAATTCACCTATCATTATGCATCAGATTCTGAACCATATATTGCTTGTAGACATGTCAGAAGTAAAGTTATTAGTAGGCAACAAAAATTGAAAATTTAAAATTAAAAAAAAATGATGAAATAGAATTTTATTGTTTTATTTGATGTAGATTTTTGACAAGAAGAGTCCAAAAGATTCCTTGGGTGAACTAACTTCCCTTTAAAAACTTTGTTATCTGCGCCTGATATGACGCTGGACCGAGATTTCGCACTCAAGAACTCGGGATTGGATAGCAAGATCAATATGAGACTGTGTCTTAGAGTAAGTATTTTAATGTCCTGGAAAATTTTTCAAGCACCACATCTATTTAAATAACACTACTTTACTTTTCAATGACTCTGTAACCATCAAGTTTTAATAAAGGAATAATCTTTAATAAGGTTAAAATGTAAAAGAAAAAAAATTTCTTCTTGCTTAGATCTTGACAACAGAAAACAACCCAGCCTGGAGAGATGAGGGTAGCATGCTGAACACAAAGTCCAGTAGTGTGGACCCCCCTCCTTCCACCTCTGTAGATCCTCCCACATCTCAGAACAAGGGGACGTCATCCACATCTGACTCTGCCCCAAAATCTCAGCCTTCACGTCCAGCAGCTGCTAAGGAAGCCAGCCCTACCATAAAGAAGGTGGATGTCACACAGGTCAATGCAGCGAAGCCTGAGGGACAGGTGATTCCCCCGGCCAGCAACACAGGCCCCCAGACAGTGACCAGTACTGAGGCCAGACAGAGGAAAACCAAGTCCTCCCCCGCCCCAGCTGAGTGAGTACCACTAAAGTAACACCCTCCCTATCAAATAGTCCTCCCCCACCCCAGCTGAGTGAGTACCACTAAATCAGTGTAACACCCTCCCTATCAAATAGTCCTCCCCCGCCCCAGCTGAGTGAGTACCACTAAGCCAATATAACATCCTCCCTATCAAGTAGTCCTCCCCCGCCTCAGCTGAGTGAGTACCACTAAGCCAATGTAACACTCTCCCTATCAAATAGTCCTCCCCCGCCCCAGCTGAGTGAGTACCACTAAGTCAATGTAACACCCTCCCTATCAAACAGCTCACTTAACCTGAGTTAGAATGACAAGTCTCTGACTGTGTAGAATATTAAAATACTCTGAGAATATAACTTTAACAGTCAGTAAGTCAGAGTAAACATAATGAACAATAAAACTGATAGGAGAATGAAATTTTGATTATTTTGTACAGATTAATCATTGTATCATGGTACCTTTCTATATTTTTGGCTGGTTGATTTGTAGGTCTGATACCAGAGGTGCCTATGGCAGAGGAAGGATTCAGTTGACCTTCAGATACAGCTCTCAGAGACAGAAACTAGTGGTGGTAGTTCATAAATGTCTGTGAGTATCTATATAATAAATATAAATGATGCTTGTTTTGGACGGTAACAGCTGAGATTGACACCCCTCAGAAAACCATAATCAAGCTTCGCTTCAACAGAGGTTGACAGTGTGTCAATCTCAACTGTTTCCCTCCAAAACAGGCACTGATCATTTTATTATACTTAATGTCTTGTCAGATCAAATAGTAAAATTAGAGGTACACAATGGCAATATGTAACATAGAATCTGAAAGTATCATTAAATTTTATTTGGTGGTATGGGAGGAGTTGCGCATAAGAGATTGGTACCCTTTGATATTATAGAAAGAATGGCAGTGTCCATGGTCAATAAGCAATGCAAATTATTTAAGAAATAACCACTAGTTAAGTGCACTATGACTCTTTTCAATCCTTTGTCAGAGTGGGATGAGTAAACAATGAATTCAGACAAGTAATATTTGTGGCAAATTGTCTGATGGTCAGTGACGGACAAGTGGATGTTTGAGTTAATGTTGAGTCTGGATGGTATTGATACCATTAGACACTTCTAATAGTACATTTTGTCACTACCCCCAATGTAATGATTTGATATATCAGCTCACCCTGTTTTCAATGACATGTGGACCCTTTATTTTACAGGAGTTTGCTGCCCTGTGACAGTGACAATTTGGCAGATCCTTACGTCAAAATGTACCTCCTGCCTGACAAGTCCAGTAGTGGCAAACGCAAAACAAAGGTCATCAAAAACAACCTGAATCCTGTCTTTGATGAAACGTAAGTTGAAACTGTTTTGCCAAAGTGTGTTACTGAGTACTTATACATGTATATCGGTTATGATAATGTTCCAGGTTATATAAATTATGATTGCAAGTCTTGTATGACCAGTAAATTGGGCGTTAGAGACCCACATGTTTATAAATACATGTACGCTAGGATTTTTATTTAAAAACAAATAATTTATCTGAGCAAAGACACAAATGTTGATTTTTTTTTATCAAGGCTTAATATGAAGAATCTCCTGCTTAAGTGATATATATGATAAGAATGCATATGTTAACTTTTCTGTTCATCTCAGAGTCCAGAATCGGAGATTAAGTTTTGAGAATATAATTTTCTGCATATGTATATATCTGTTTTAGGTTTGAATTTCCCCTGAAGCAGGAGGACATTGCTGGTCGTGACTTGGAGCTGACCATTAGGAACGACACCAGCTATTTCTCCTCCAACATCAAAGTCATGGGAGTGGTGACTATTGACCTGTCCAAAATGGACATCTCCAAAGCTGCCACAGAATGGTATGTATCCACTAGAGATAGAAGCATTTAACACAGTCCAGAATAATATTAAAAGGAAATCCTTGTTGTAGAGTTAAACTAGTAAAGACATTCTAAAAACTTTATTGTAATTAAGGTACATGTGACATTTGATTCATCTGACTGTATTTTTCATAGTGATGTCTCTAGCTCACCTGAGCTGAAAGCTTAAGTGAGCTTTTCTGATCACATTTTGTCCGGCGTCCGTCTGTCTAGCTGTCTGTTTGTCTGTAAACTTTTCACATTTTCATCTTCTCCTCAAGAACGACTGGGCCAGTTTCAACCAACCTTGCCACAAAGTATCCTTAGGTGAAGGGGATTCAAGTTTATTCAACTTATGGGCCACGCCCCTTTCCAAGGGGAGATAATTATGAATTAGTGAAAAATTAATGGCGTTTTTAAAATCTTCTTCTCATGAACCACTGGGCCAGGAAAGATGAAACTCATTTGGAAGCATCCCCAGGTAGAAATATGAAGGAAAATTCTTTAAAATCTTCTTCTCAAGAATAAAAGCCATGATTGGTCATATTTATATGGAAGCATCCCCAGGTAGTGTAGATTCAAGATTGTTCAAATCATGACCCCCAGGGGTAGGGCGTGGCCACAATGGCCGACTTACATAGAAAAATGAAGGAAATTTCTTTAAAATCTTCTCAATAGCAAAGCCATAATTCATCATACATGTTTTTATATGGAAGCATCCTTAGGTAGTGTAGATTTCAAGTTTGTTCAAATCATGAACCCCGGGGGTAGGTCGGGTCCAAAATGGTTGACCAAAGTTTTACATAGAAATATACCGGAAAAATCATCTTCTCAAGAATAGCAAATTCATGATTGGTCATGGGACTTCTTTTGGATTTAAACTTTTCAATGATAAACCCATTTCTACTTTTTAGCTCACCTCAACGAAGTTGGGGGGAGCTTATGTGATACCCTCGGCGTCGGTGTCGGCGTCCCAGGTTAAGGTTAAGTTTTTTGGAGCAGTTTTCTTTTTAATTACTTCTGAGTCCTATATTGATTAGACATGCATGGAATATGGTTCTAGTGTGTTTCATTGTACCAGACAGAGTTTCAGATGCTGCAATTTCAGCAAAGGAATGACCAGGTTAATGTTTATGGAGCAGGTTAACATTTTTATACCCCCCCGCAAACGAAGTTTATTATACCCCCCGCAAACGAAGTTTAGGGGGGTAAATTGGAATCACCATGTCCGTCTGTCCGTCTGTCTGTAGACGAGATTTTGTCCGGACCATTACTCAGAAACTATTGGAAGGATTTGTCTGAAAATTTGTACAAATATTATTCACTATATGAAGTTGTGCACCTGATATTTTCATCTTGATTAGATTATTATTTTGAATTTTACAGGTGTTTTTTCATTTTTATTTTGTGGTTTTATCCGGACCGTTTCTCAGAAACTATTGCAAGGATTAATCTGAAAATTTGAACACTTATTTTTCACCATATGAAGGTGTGCAATTGGAATTTTCAACTCTTTTTGTTCATTTTTTTGCATTTTACAGGTTTTATTTTTTATTTTAATTGACTTGTTCATTTTGGGCTCATGTATAAGGTTTGAGACATAGAATCTAGAATATCTGTACAAAAATTTTACAGCTTAAAACTACTTGTATAAACTTAAAAAAAAGAAACATCATCAAGAGTTAAAAACAGTTTTTACATTGCACAGAAGATAATGTAATTTTATTTATCTCTTGGACATGCATCCAGTTAAATAAAAATTAATGAGTTTGGTGTAGGAAGTTGAACATTAAGGCATCTTATTATCAACCACGTGTAATCTCCTGGGAATCAGGCACAAGAATTAAAGATCTCTCTTCTCTTATTCTCTTAATTGTAATTTATTGTCTGTCAAAACACTTCATTACTGGATGACCAGCTCTTTATTTTCAAATGAATTTGATATAAAGTTCTCAAGATTAATTTAATTTTGTATAATATGATTTTTTTTCAACAATCAGTTTGCAGAGTGACATAACACATAATTGCAATATATTTTTTAATGCAGAAATAAAAAAAATAAATAAAAAAATTCAAAGAATTGTGGTCCCCCGCTTTCGGTGTCTTTGTTGGTGAGATGTTATTTCTTATGACATATTGTGTCTAATATGAACATCCTATCATATGTCATTTCTTAGAAATTACCATTGAAGTTGATTTTTTTGAAGGATGAAAACCCTTATCTTAACCGTTAAAAAGTTATGGCCAAAAATAACGTTTTTTTAAAAAGTAGGTCAACTCCAAGGTCAAGATGAAAGGGTCAAAGATGTTGATGAAAGGTTTTCTTACAAGGATTACATATGTGAAGTATGAAAGCCCTAGCCCTTACCATTCAAAAATTGTGGTCAAGGTTAAATTTTTTACACCAATACATAAATCTTTATGGTCAAGGTCAAAAGGTCAAAGTTGTTGATATCCCATGAAAGGACTTGCCACAAAGAATACACTTGTGAAATATAAAAGTCCTAGTATCTACCGTTCAAAAGTTGTGACCAAAGTTAATTTTTTTTTAAAAGTAGTTAAAACTCCAATGTCAAGGTCAAAGGGTAAAAGTTGTTGGTATCCAATAAAAGGTCTTCTCACAAGGATAACATATGTGAAGTACGAAAGCCCTAGCCCTCACCGTTCAAAACTTATGGTCAATGTTAAAGTTTTTTCATAAGTATTTAAATCTCCAAGGTCAAAGTCAAAATGTCAAGGTTGTTGGTATCCAATGAGATGTCTTGCAACAAGGAATACATATGTGAAATATAAAAGTCCTAGTATCTACTGTTTATCAGTTGTGACCAAGGTTAAAGTTTTAAAAAATTAGTTAAAACTCCAAGGTCAAGGTCAAAGGGTAAAAGTTGTTGGTATCCAATAAAAGGTCTTCTCACAAGGATAACATATTTGAAGTACGAAAGCCTTAGTCCTAACCGTTCAAAACTTATGGTCAAGGTTAACGTTTTTTCATAAGTACGTAAATCTCCAAGGTCAAGGTCAAAAGGTCAAGGTTGTTGGTATCCAATGAAATGTCTTGCCACAAACAATACATTTGTGAAATATGAAAGTCCTAGTACCTTCCATTCAAAAGTTATGGCCAAAGTAAACGTTTGAAATTTCTGTGTAAAAGAGGGTCAAACTCCAAGGTCAAGGTCAAAAGGTCAAATTTGGTGGTACACAAAGAAAGGTCTTGTCACAAGGAATACACATGTGAAATATGAAAGTCATATCTCTATAAATCAAAAGTTATGGGCAAGGTTAAAGTTTTTGTGACGGACAGACTGACAGACTGACAGACGGACAGACTGACAGACGGACAGACGAATGAGATTTAATGTCCCCTCGCTTTCGCGAAAGCGGGGGACAAAAAAAAAAATGTTAAAATGGAATAACAATGTATTAGTATTGATGTTTCATTTGGTTGCACCTTTGTTTCATTCATTAAGAAACATGATGAGCAATTATATTTCACTGCAAATTTTTGTAAGTAAATTGTGAACACCTCTAGATCCATAAAGTATTTTTGAATTGGCACCTTTTCTGAAAAACCCAGCGGGGGGTATTTGTCCCTATTGGACAGTTCTAGTTGGTGCAGTTTTTGGTGTAGGTTTCATTTCCAAGTAACTATAAGCCCTATGTTGACCAAACTTGCATGGATGGTACATCTAAGGATGCATACTTCCGGGCTTGCTTCAGATGCTGAATCCGACCTACATTTTCCGGTTGAGTGAACAGGTTAAAGTTTTTGGTGCAGGTTTCATTTCCAAGTAACTATAAGCCCTATGTTGACCAAACTTGCATGGATGATACATCTAAGGATGCATACTAACGGGCTTGCTACGGATGCTGAATCTGACCTACATTTTCCAGTTGAGCTAACAGGTTAATGTTTTTGGTGCAGGTTTCATTTGCAAGTAACTTTAAGCCCTATGTTGACCAAACTTGCATGGATGATACATCTAAGGATGCACACTACCAGGCTTGCTTCGGATGCTGAATCTGACCTGCATTTTCCGGTTGAGTGAACAGGTAAAAGTTTTTGGTGCAGGTTTCATTTCCAAGGAATTATGAGTTTTTTAATGACCAATCTTGCATAGATAATACATCTAAGAGTGCATACTACCAGGCTTGCTTCGGATGCTGAATCTGACCTACTTTTTGTGGATGAGTGAAAATGTTAGTTTTTGATGCATGTTTCATTTCCAATAAACTATGAGCCCTATAATGAGCAAACTTGCATGGATGATACATCTAAGGATGCACACTAATGGACTTGCTTCGGATGCTGAATTCGACATACATTTTTCAGATAATAGACAAGGTAAAAGTTATGGTTGTAGGTCTATTTCCAAAAACTATAAGGCTTATATAACATTGTATAAACCAAACTTGCACAAATGCTGCATCAAGAGATGAAAACTCTCAAATTTGCTTCAGATGCTGGATTTTCATTATATTTTCAGGAAGAAGAACTCGTTTAAATTTTTTATGTAGGTCTATTTCAAAGTATCAGATCAAAATTGCTTAAATTTTTCATTTTTGGAATGTATACTTTTTGTTGGTTAATTGTGTGACTTTGCCTTACTTAAAGACAACATTCGTTGAGGTGAGCTCTGTAATCTCTGATTACCTATGTTTCCTAGCCACAGTGCTCAGGTGAGCGATGTGGCCCATGGGCCTCTTGTTTAAAACTAGCTATTTCATAGTGCCATGAAAGACCCCGTATGCAGCAAGTTTCATGTTACAAATTTTAAATGACACATTTGTAGCTGAGATAATGATTAAAAATTGTGATTTTAAAATTTTTTTCAAGTTCAAAGGGGACAACTGTCAAAAATCATCAGCCCATGACCAAATTCAAACTTGACCCATATTTTCCATGTTTTCTGGACCTGCATATGCAATTTCAACCTTAAACATACATCCCTTCAAAAGTTTTTAGGGAGCCAAAACTGATTTTTTTTATGTTTTTCTAAGTTCAAGAGGAATAACTGTCAAAAATCATAGTACCATGACCAAATTCAAACTTAACTTGTATCATCTAGTGAAATTCCTGCATATGCAATTCCAACCTTATACATATCCCTAAAAAATTTAAGAGAATGTTAACAGAAAATTTCTGAATTTTTCTAAGTTCATGAGGGAAAACTCAGTCAAAAATCATCAGACCATGACCAAATTAAAACTTGACCTGCTTTCATGTATTCCTTTGATGGATTCATCTGTCATTTTCTTAATTTTTTACCCATTATAATTACCATGAGACTACAGGACATGTGTTTATGCATGTTACTTTGCAGGTTTGACCTTCACCCAGAGGACAGTGATGATGCAGAGAATCCTGTCTCTGTGGAATCTGATGTCTGAGCATGTGCAGAGAAAGTAGCTCTTGAAAGATCTGAAACTATTGTTGTCCAAGTGCTCACCTCATGAGAACAAAATTGTGATAGATAAACATGACAGTAGTTACCAAGATATTATTCATGTTATGCTCAGTAGAACCAATATTTTTGTTATAAATTGTATGCTTTATTGGGAGAGGTTTATCATGTATGGTTGGGAAATTATGTTAAAACTCTAGTACTGGTATATTATAGGGATATTAAATGCATTTAAATTTGCATTTTACTATTTCACTGCCTTTGTCAAATGTTTTGTGGCAGAATTAAATTGGGAGTTGAGTGGTTGATGCTTGCATCCTATCTTTTAAAAAGGAAAAACAACTTAATGTCTCATGTATTTCAAGGGGAAAAGGTTGTTAAATGGGACGTCTCATAGAAATATGGAAATCTAAGTGTAGTCTCAATTTGATACTGATTTTATGAATTTTATGCATGTCTGATATTTTTACAAAAAAATGTAAATTGTCTCTTATTTTCTGAGGAACAAAACCAATAATACTTGAATGAGTAACAAAAACTTTACATGTAATTCTTGAACAGCATAAATACATGTATGATGCCAGATCATTTTCTCATGAAATGGTCAGCAATATTCTCAATATAGTTTTCCATTTGGATTGAATTTTAAACATAAAACCACTGTGATAAGTGACAATACTGACTTAGTATTTGGAAGATGAGTTGTCAGAAGAGAATGATTTGTAGTGATTTGTAAACCCCTATATAGTCTTAAAGTTTACAAAACTTGTTTATCCATAGTTTATATGTATACATATATACATTGTATATAAATTTTTTATTTTGTTTATGTCATTTTTATTTGATTACACCATTCTCCTATCTTGTATTTGTTTGGTTTTAGATATTTACTGATAGCCGTGCTATTTAGAGTTAACTTTATTCAAGATTTACTAAAGATTTTCTTCTTTAAAGTTCAGCCAATGATGTTACAAAACTACCCGTCCAGTAAATTGCTATATTTATACATTGTTCTAGGCACATTTTTTGACTTGTCCCTGGTACGTAGAATGTAGCTTCAGTCCTTCCTGTGATCAAAGTTGTTGTACTATTTGAAAAGTTTTAAAACTTGCTTTTTATTTTGTGCAATATATCTTTTTATTTAAAGAATTCTTCACATTAGAAAAAAAAATGTTTATCAGTGCTATGCTGTGGTAAAAAAAAATTTTTTTTTGGCTATATCTATTGATGACATTAAGTTTGTTTTTGAAAATGGTGCTATGATTTTAAATTTCAGTTTCTTTATTGCATTAAGTCAGAATCAAGATATTTTGTTTTCATTTACATGACTGTTATTTTACCTGAGAGAAATATTTTCAAATATCTTTGGAATAAAATGGATATGCAATGCTTCTTAAAAATTATGTCAATTTCTATATTGTTTTCAAATTCACTGTAGCATATAACTTAATACTCATATTTTCTTCAGTTCTCTTGTATTTGTTAAGAAAAATTGTTTCGTATTTTTTTAAATAGAAAACTTTCTTTGAAGCTACCTCTGAGTGAGCAGACTTTAGTTTGTATACTTTAAATGTCATTGACAAATATGTATTTTCAAAATTTTGTTACTGTGATACAAACAAAAAATGAAAATACAAGTGCTAGAAGGTGTCTGTTTTTACATGGCTGTCAGAAAATTAAAAAAATCAAACATATTTGCTTCTTATTCTTCTGAAGTATATGTCAAATGAATGTTTTTGAGACAGAAAGATGTTAAATGATGAAATTTAATAAAAACTTTTAAGCCAGCCCTCAGTGAGGTAAAAGAAACAAAATGCACTTGGGCTACATCACTCACCTGATCACTGGCTAGGAAAAAGCAGAATTCAGTTCAGTTTTAAAAAGTTTAAATAATTATATAAATGAGGTTCCAACATTTGATCTTCTATCGAGTTATGAGGTTATGAACTACAATGCTTCACACCGGTCCGGCATATTTATCAAATTTTTCCTTTTCTATTTTTTTCTCTGTGATAACTCTTTGAAAGTAAGCGGAGTTGATTTCTAGATAATTCTACCGGAATGTAAATTAGGCAGGTTGATAGGTCAGGAGCTAAGGAGGCCTAATATGCATGCAAATCTCGCGCACATCTGTCTCTGTGTCTGACGCTAAGGAGGCCAAATATGCATGTAAATCTCGTGCGGGTGCCTTAAAAGTTTGTGTTTGACGTCAGTGGGCGAGGACTATTGAAATTGGAGTCCTCATGTAATTTGAATCTATGTCTACATTTTTAAAGTCTAAATCTACAATTTTATTTCACAATGAAATGGAAATATACATCTTCATTAGCCAAGGGTTTCCGATTCGAAATCTACTCTACAATGTTGTAGAGTAGATTTCAGATCGGAAACCCTTGACTAGCGAAGATGGGAAATTTACGGAATCACTGTCTAGTTAGTATATTGTATGCCAGGGACATTAACCATAGTGGGAAACATGGGATAATTTATGCATAACGGGCTTCGCTAAATATCTGCTACGCATGCATTCGTCCACCCACACACTCACAATTTAAGCTATATATATAAGCTATACATCGTAAGATGCAGTAACGTTAACTTCATAAAGCACACTTAAGTGGGTAATGGAGCATCAACTGGAACACCTGACTAAATTTTTATAAAGATATTTGAAGTTCGTGCTGAGGTGAAGGGTACGGTTATTCCCCATAGGCCTCAAATCGTGTTGAAGATGAAAACGATTAAAAAGCGATTGACCAGAGGCCTGTTCAGCAGAGCGAACGTTCGCGAGCGCTCTCCAAAATTACTATTGGGGGTGTAAGGAATTTCGGCGAGCGCTCGCGAACGTTCGCTCTGCTGAACAGGCCTCTGGTCACTAATAATCACCGTGTATAGGGGCACACCAGTGGCGGATTTAAGGGGGGGGGCGTACCCGGCGTGCGCCCCCCTAAAATTGTCAAAATTAACGTAAATCACAGTTTCGTCTAGAAAATGTAAATATGTCTATACTTGGTATACCTCATTTTTACCCTACAAAATCTCTAGAATCCAGGAGCTTCCGGGGGCTTCGCCCCCTGGGCCCCCACCAGGGCTTTGCCCTGGACCCACTGGGGGCCTCAAGGTGCCCCAGACCCCTTGCCTACCTTTGGCGCCCCCTCTAACTTCATTTCCTGGATCCGCGCCTGCACACGTGGGGTTTCGGTTAAGTAACATATGGGGTTTCAACTCCGAAGCGGTGATTTTTTGCATTTGGAAAATATATTTGTAAAAATCCGTTGCTAATGAAGTCTTCGGGGCCAAATGACATGTGCATGGGTTGTAAGAATGTATTACCTTCCAATTTAGTGCAATAGGCTGGTTGAAAGCGTTACGGATTCTGCAAACACTTAGACTGGACAGTTCAGTCGACTGGGAAAAGTTGTGGTGTCGCTGACGTTATTTGCTCTATAATTTTCAAAAGCGGACCTTTAAAGCTCATTTTAAGGATGATAGATAAAGATTGATATAAAAACAATCCATGGAAACTTTTTTCACCTTTCGCAGTCTCTATTTCTGTAAGAAATATAAACTTTTGTGGCCAAATTCTAATGTGCCTACTGCCTAACGGGGTTTCAAGGTTTGTTAACATAGGGGGTTTCAACTCAAAGGCTTTTTCTAAGTTTTCATCTTTGGATCTGGATTCCTTGCTTTTTCATCACGAAGCAAAAAAGTGAATGGCCATATGGAAGGAAAAGATTGTTTATCGCCGGTGAGCAAAGATTTTTAAACAACTCAGATTCTTATTTTTAGGTTCACCTGAGTAAACTCAGGTGACCTATTGCTATCTGTTTTCGTCCGTCGTCGTGCGTCGTGTGGGTGTGCGTCGTCCGTCGTGCGTTAACATTTGAACATTTTCAGCTTCTTCTCTGAAACCACTGAACCAATTTCAACCAAATTTGGCATATAGCATCTATGGGTGAAGGGGAACAAAAATTGTGAATTTCATAATCCCTGCCCCCCCCCCCTAGGGCCTGAGGGGACGGAGCCAAAATCACTAAAATTAGTGCAATCTTTAAAAATCTTCTTCTTTACTCCTGGACATCAAGCAGTCAAACTGTTGGCATGTTTGTAATCAGCATTGAGTCCTCTATCAAAATTGTGAAATTCATGGCCCTGGGGTCAGGGGTTCTAGTGCTAGGACGGGGCTAAATAGATTATATAGTGAAAATGCATTATTCCTTTGAAAATCTTCTTCTCTGCTCCTAGGCATTAAATAAACTAAATAAGTACATAGTTATGTTGAATAAGGCTGCCTCTTCCAAAATTGTGAAATTCATGGCCCTGAGGTCAGGGTTTTTTTGGGTGCTAGGGCGGGGCTACATAGATTATATAGTGAAAATGCATAAATTTTTTGAAACTCTACTTTTCTGTTTATGGGCATTAAATAAACTAACCAAGTGCATAATTATGTTGAATAAGGCTGTCTTTTCTAAAATTATGAATCTAATGGCCCCAGGGTCATGGGTTCTAGTGCTGGGGGGGGGTATATAGATTATATAGTGAAAATGCATAGATTCTTTGAAAATTTTCCTCTCTGTTCATGGTCATTAAATAAACTAACCAAGTGCATAGCTATGTTGAATTAGGGTGCCTCTTTCAAAATTGTGAATTTCATGGCCCCAGGGTCAGGGGTTCTAGTGCTAGGCGGGGCTATATAGATTATATAGTAAAAAATGAATTATTTCTTTGAAAATCGTCTTCTCTGCTCCTGAGTATTCAATAAACTAACCAAGTACATAGTTTTGTTAAATAAGGCTGCCTATTCCAAAATTCTGAATTTCACGGCCCCTGGGTTGGGGGTTCTGGTGTTAGGGTGGGGCTCTATTGATTATATAGTGAAAATGCATAAATTCTTTAAAAATCTTCTTTTCTGCACCTGGGTATTAAACCAATGTACTATGTACATAGTTATGAGGAGGAAGGATGCATCACTGAGATTTGTGAATTTCAGGGCCCCTGGTTCAGGGCTTCTTGTGTTAGGGTGGGGCTCTAATATTTATATATTGAAAATGCATGAATCCTTTCAAAATCTTTTACTTGGTTCCTGGGTATAATGCCAATGATCTTAGTATATATTTAAGACGAAGAAAGCTGCTTCTTCCAAAAATGGTTAATTTCCTGGCCCCAGGGACAGAGGTACTTGGGGGGGGGGATACATAGTCTGAAAATAATTTAATGCTTTGAAATCTGCACTTTGGTATTAATTAACAATATGATGAAATAAAATGTATAAAATTTCCAAAATTTTGAAAGATGTGGCCCCAGGGTCAGTGGTTCCTGTGGGATGGGGTGCACAACTGATAAAGTGGAAAATGCATTTTCTCTTTGTTACTCTGAGATACCTCTGGGTATTCAGTAACCAAAGTAAGCATGCTGAGTGTATGATTATGATAAGCAATGATGCCTCTTTCAAAATTGTGAATTTCATGGCCTCTGGTTTAAAACATGAATCAATTTCAATTGTTGGAAAGTTCTTGCATGATACTCAGGTGACCTATAAGGCCCATGGGCCTCTTGTTTGATAACGTCGGCCCTATAAGAGTGCCAAAAATCCAAAAATAAGAATCCAGTGCTTACATTTACATTCTCTAGTTTTATCTCTACATAATTGTAGATTTCATTATACATGTACTTTCTACTGGATTTAGCGCATGTCAGTCCTGACGTACTTTTAAAAGCCGTCTGTGACATTGAATGTTAAATGCGGGGGAGGGTGGGGGTACAAATGTTATATTTTGATGATAAATTATTCCATTGATTTTGTATAATATGAGTTAAAACAATACACATTTTAGCATTTCAAGAGTATTGAAAATGCATATTATTCCTACTATGCATTCTACTGCGCAGTAATAAGGTTTGATGTGTATGATAGAATATTGAATGGAATTATATAAAAATTCCAGTGGATTTCAAAAAGAAAAGAAATAATTTGAATGTAAAAATATACAAACATGAATACTTACTTTAATCTCTATCGGATACCTATCAAATCTATCTAGGATGTCATTTAAAATTCTGACATTTATGTATAACTGTTCAGGTGGCGAAACATTTCATTGAACTTTTGTCAAAATAGATTTCAAATATAAATGATTGCGTTTTTCCCGAAATTCCGAAGGCTGTTATAAGTCCCATAATTACTGAATGT